TACTGTTGTGAGGAGCCGGTTTCCTTAAGTTACTAAAAGGGGCCAATGGCCTAAGCTAGTTTCATATAAAAAGGGAGCTGCAGGGATTCTGGCCATCATATACAGCATCTGCTTATTCATAAAATACTCAAATTTAAAAGAGGTTTATTTATTTCTTGATGTGGACTTTTTCTTTATATGTGGACTCAGGGATTAGCTGAAACTCTCAGATTCAGAAAGAGCATAATTTAGGAGCTCTTGAATATATGTAAGCTGCCAGGACACACCCGTCAACTCTTGGGTTTGACTTTTAAAGTTTTTATTACTTATTTCGGCAGTTCTAGGGATTAGCTTTTTGGAAGTAGATTGTACCTATTATCTTACTTTATCTTTTATCTTGTGTAACATACATAGTAAACCTCAATATATGTTCAAACAGAGAAAACAAAGCAAAGCAAAACAGAAACAAAACCAAAAAACCCAGGGTAAGACCTAGCAGAAAGGGGCTGTATAAGAATTTGAAGCTATGGCTATCTTCAGGTGGTACCATCGCAGCCAAAAAATCATGTTTTCCCCCTCATTGCTTTAGCCATCTAGGATCTAGTTCTGTTACAGGAGTATCTTTCTTTGCCCAGCAGCTTCTGTTGTTTATTTTTGAATGAGCTCAAGTACAGGAAATGTATTGATAAATAATATTTCTAATGTACCACAGTCCTCCCTTGAAAAACTCATAAAAACTGTATTGGGGGTAGGGCGTGGTGGCTCACTCCTGTAATCGCAGCACTTTGGGAAGCTGAGGTGGGTGGATAACCTGAGGTCAGGAGTTCTAGAACAGCCTAGCCAACACGATGAAACCTCATCTTTACTAAAAGTACAAAAATTAGCTTAGTGTGGTGGCGCGTGCCTGTAATCCCAGTTACTTGGGAGGCTGAGGCGGGAGAATCACTTGAACCTGGGAGGCAGAGGTTGCAGTGAGCCAAGATCATACCATTGCACCCCAGCCTGGGTGACAAGAGTAAAACTGCATCTCAAAAGAAAAAACAAAAAACAAAAATTGTATCGGGAACTGGTGAACCAGTGCTGTGAATCAAGGAAGGTAACAACTAGAGGAATTTAGCCTTTCCCTTTTCCCTCCAACTTCTCTGGAAGAAATACAAATCTTGAAGTAGGCTTCAGGACAGGTGGAAGATTTAATGATCAAATAAATAAGTTTAGGAAATGGTATCTGGTGTACTCACCTTTTGGTGATTTATAAAACACATTAACACAGTACTTCCAAGAAGTCCTGTAGTAAAGGCAGTATACAGCTCTGTTTAATGTATTTTTCAAACCTCACGACCCTTTTGTTGAGTAACTATTGAATATTCTTTGGAACAAATATTCCTTGGTTCACACTTTGGGAAATTAGATGACTGCTTTTTAAATTTAATTTTGTATTTATTTTTATTTTAAAAAATAAAGACAGGGTCTTACTGTTTTGCCCAAGCTGGACTCTAACTCCTGGGCTCAAGCAATCCTCCTGCCTCAGCCTCCTAAGTAGCTGGGACTACAGGCATACACCATGGTGCCAGGCTACTAGACCATTACTTTTGATGTATTTTAATATCAAAGCTTCAAGTAAAATATAGATATTCTTGAGTGCAAAGAAGTATAAAGGCATCCTGAAAAGCAAATTGTTACACCTTCCTTCTCATTGTTATTATTCTGCTTTCTAAATATTAATGTGCCCTTTGCATATGGTTTGCTGGTACAGGATGTAGTTTTTGAGTAGTGTATCATTATGGAAGATGCTATGTAATGGCAATTTCTATAGAAAATTTTTTTCTTCTTTTACTTTTGGGTGGGCAATTTCGTTATTTGTGGTTGTGTCGCAATAAATGTTTTGGAAGAGTACTAAGCTAAGTATTTTTAGAAAATGGGTGCAAAATGTTGGGGATGAAGATAGTTTGTTGTGAAGTTGTGTCATTAGTTTTAGAGACTGGGAGAGTTTATCACTGAAAAGGAGTTCCACGGCATAGAGTAGAATTGGTCCTTTCCCTGTCCTGTGTGCTGCCACTTGCAAGACTAGGAGAAACAAGTAGGTGAAAGAGCTCAACCTGTTACTTGGTAGACCTCTCTGGGAATCAGTGCCTTGAAAACATTTAGCCCTAGGGCTAACAGTTACCACAGGTGTTGAGCTTCTGAGCTAGACTAGCTGTGGGACAAATAATGAAAAAAACAAAGCATTGGCACAATATACCTCTTGATGATAATCACCTTTCCAAATTAATTTTATTACTGCATCTTAGTGTACTATCTCATTCATTCTCATAACATTTCTGTTACATAGTTAAGAGAGTAACTTAACTATGTTAAGTTAACTAAGTTAACTATGTAAATAAGAATTCTCTGATCTGGGAGCTAAGGCATAAACTTAACAAATGTGCTGTAATTCATATGGCTGTTTCAATTACGGGATCAAACCTGGAATCCAGGTTTCCTAAACAATTGCTCTTTTTGCTAACTGCATTTACTGAAGTTTGTTTTGATGTGTTTAAATACATTTTTAAATAAATACATGTATTTGTATTGAAGTTTTATGGCTTAGATAATTAAATGGCCAGGAAAGAGTATTGCTTTTTCCCTTAAGATCAGAAAAATTAGGCTTAGAAAGATGACCTTACCTAGTGTTGTATACTTTGCAGGTGAGAGCTGTGACTAGAATTTAGCCCTTTTTTGTCCACCGTTTCCCTGAGAAACCAAGATGTTGGTAGATAGTATCTTTACTAGATGCCAGTAATTATATATTGAACAGAACTCAATCTCTTCCTGAGTCTTCAATCCAATTTTTTTTTTTTTACTTTTAAAAATATTTTAATTTTTTTGAGACAGTTTCACTCTCTGTCATCCAGGCTCGAGGGCAGGGGCACTATACCGGCTCACTGCAACCTCTGCCTCCTGGGTTCAAGCGATTCTTGTGCCTCAGCCTCCCAAATAGCTGAGACTACAGGCGCGTGCTACCATGCCTGGCTAATAAGTAATCCACCTATCTCAGCCTCCCAAAGTGCTGGGGTTATAGCTGTGAGCCACTGTGCCCGGCCAACCCTATCTAGTAAGGTTAAGTTTTCAGATTTTGAAGGACATCAAACTTTTCTTCCAGATCAGGTTTTACACCAAAATTATACTGGTCCACTTTATTTGAACACATGACTTTAATTGGATGCCTTTTGAGGGGCCTAAGTCATGGATCTAGAAAAGGTGACTGATCTTTCTTCTCATAGGAATCGGGAGAGAATTAGGGCAATGACTATGACTATATACCAGTTGTGGGACGACAGCATGAGGTCATGCAAGGAGAAATGAGAAAGAACTTGCCTTTGGCAGTAACAGGGAGCAATCTAGTTAACACTGGAGCACTGAATTGAAAAGCATAGTTAGCTCTGTTTCTAGGCCCAGGCTGGGCACTTGACATTGTTTCCTACGTTAGACCAGTGAGCTGGGAATGACAGCTCACTGGAGGAGAGAGAGTGCAGTAAAGATCCAGGAAATACAAATTATAGTCAGTTTATTAATCTAATTAAGTAGAACAATTATTGAGTCCCTTGTTGACACTATCTCTTAATTGAGCTCTTTGAAATTAATGTGATCTCCTGTAATCCCAGCACTTTGGGAGGCTGAGGCAGGCAGATCACTTGAGGTCAGGATTTTGAGACCAGCCTGGCCAACATGGTGAAACCTCCATTTCTACTAAACATACAAAAAATTAGCTGGGCATAGTGTTGCATGCCTGTATAATCTCAGCTACCCGGGAGGCTGAGGTAGGTGAATTACTTGAACTCGGGAGGTGGAGGTTGCAGTGAGCCAGATTGGGCCACTACATTCCAGCCTGGGTGACAGAGCAAGACTATCTCAAAAAAAAAAAAAAAAAAAGAAAAAAAGAAAGAATTACTGTAATATAATGTACCACACTAGCCCAGACAATGTGCTGACTTCAGAAGGCAAATTCAGTGTAAATTGACTCTTTACCAATGTAAGAAGTGACACTGCATTTAGACTAAATTAGATCAAGGATAGGACAGTGGTTCTCAAAACTTTAGAAAGGACCAGAGTCACCTGGAGGGCTTATTAAAAAACATTGTTGGTACCCACTTCTAGAGGTTCTGTTTTGATTTTGCATTTTGAACAAATGTTTAGGTTTTGATGCTGTTGTTGGTACTGCTGGTCCTTGGATCGTCCTTTTCAGACCCACTGATCTAGGACAAAAAGATGAAGCAAGTATAACTGTTAAATTCCTCCTGATTAAGGTATTCACAGGGAAGGGAGAAAACATTAACATTTAAGCCTCTACTCTGTCAAAATCATCTTGTGCCAGATGATTTGGTAGTCACTGTTTAACTTAACCCTTGAAACTACTCTGCAAAGTAGTCCTTGGCCCATTTTCCCTCAAACATACTCCAATGAAAAACTGGCTAGAATAATTCTTTCTTAAATGACAGCTTTTACTTATAACTGAAAGAATAATGTTGGGATATACCATGACAAATGTGATTTTATTTCATGTAGATGATACGTGAAGTCACATTGCTGACTATTATGTATTCATTACTCTTCTTGTTGACTTATGAGAGACATAAAATGTAGATTAATTTAGCAGTAGTGATTATACAATAGATGGAATTAAATTTTGAGATATGTTTTCTCATAAAGAACATAAAATGAATGAGAATTCGACTTTAAAAATCAGCATATTACATCTTTCAGATCACAGAAAAAATGAGCCTATGATAATTTTGTGAGTTTTTTTAGTGTTGCCAATTTGTTATTTACCAACTCCATTTTAGAAAAATACAAGAGGAGGAATGGTAAATTATAGAATAGTCAGTATTAAGATGTGACCAAATCCTTGATAACTCAACTGTCAGACTTACTCATTTAAAGCACAGTATTCTCTGTTAATATTGTTTTTGAAAAGTCAGCCTCTTTTTTGAAAAGTCAACTTGTTTTTAATGGAACTCAGTGAAGTTACTTGTGTTGTTTGACAGACCACATCGCACAGAGTTACTAAAAAATAAAAGTGGTGATCTAAGCAGTTGAATTGGAAGCACTCTGGGGAAACCTGCTGTTTGTTGTGAAAATCATCTTTGGTCTTGGAATTAAAAGGAAAGCTGGAAAGGAATTTACAAACGAGAAAAAAAAGAAGTTTGGAATTGGATTCACAGGATCTGGGCTTGGAAATGCCTCAGGTAAATCAAACAGAGTAGGTGCCAAGTTTTTTATTTTCCCACTACAGAAAGTCAAAACCTTTGGTTCTATAAATTTCTACATCTTAACACGCCTTTGCATACTACCTTTTTAAGATATCTTATTTCTGATCTCAGCTAGTTTTGAGTACATGTTCTTTCTTCCATTGCTTTCTATTTTTTATTTTGCTATCACCTGAAGTTCAATGAGTTCTCCATAGGTAGTATGGTGAACAGGTAGAAGGTGGACAGATCTGCTGGCTTTATGGGGTAAAACCAACTCCCCTGAAAATTAATCTGCCATAGCAATCCCATTTCTCTCTCCTCACTCTTCCTATTTCCCAGTTCTTACCTTTCGTTTATGCCAGCTGAATTTAGAAGTAATTAAGAGGAAATAGTGAGAGACTTCAGGCCCCCTCACCTAACCACTCTCATCTCTCTCTCTCTCTCCCGTTTTTTTTTTTTTGAGGTAGAGTCTATCTATATCACCAGGGTGGGGTGCAGTGGCGCAATCTCAGCTCACTGCAACCTCTGCCTCCCAGGTTCAAGCGATTCTCCTGCCTCAGCCTCCCAAGTAGCCGAGACTACAGGCACACACCACCATGCCCAGCTAATTTTTGTATTTTTAGTAGAGATGGGGTTTCACCATGTTGGCCAGGATGGTCTCAATCTCCTTACCTCGTAATCCACCCATTTCAGCCTTCCAGAGTGCTGGGATTAAACGTGTGAGCCACTGTGCTCATCTCTCTCTTTCTTGTAGACACACACACATACATATGTGGGCATATGTAAATACCTCCCCACAAAATATATCTAAGAATGTTTATATCTATTTATATTATGGCAACTACTCTGAATTGATCAGCTTTGGTTTGAGGCAATCACTGAAACAATCAATGAAGCCCTGTTAGTCCCTATTCATCTTTTCTAAACTCTGTTTCTTCTCCAGTGTTTAGCTCTTGCCCCTCCCGTTTGTTTCAGTGGTGGGGAGAAACCTAGAAGTAATGAGTGGGTGGCTTTTTGTGTTGCCATACTGAGCTACCCCTTGAGCACAGGGAATCAACAATTTGCTGGGATTGTTTGGTGACTTGGAGACAGGCAGAAAAGGCAAAGAAAGGGAACTTGGTAATGGATGTTGAAAAGACCGGCAGCTGGCTGGGCATGGTGGCTCACAGCTGCAATCCCAGCACTTTGGGAGGCTGAAATGGGTGGATTTCGAGGTAAGGAGATTGAGACCATCCTGGCCAACATGGTGAAACTCAATCTTTACTAAAAATACAAAAATTAGCTGGGTGTGGTGGCATATGTGGCTGTAATCCCAGCTACTCGGGAGGCTGAGGAAGGAGAATCACTTGAACCCAGGAGGCGGAGGTTGCAGTGAGCTGAGATCGTGCCGCTGCACTCCAGCCTGGAGACAAAGTGAGACTCTGTCTGGAAAAAAAAAAAAAAAAAGACCAGACCAGTGGCCTACGGCCACCCCAACCTCTGTGACAGATGGACTGCTTATGCCCTTTTACAGTGGTTGCCCATTCAAGGTTTAGTTTTATATTTATTGAGTACTTGCATTTGGGGCTTAAATTTTAAACTTATTTTCTTAAGCTAACTTTTTCTAGGAAGAAAGGTCCCATAGGCCTGGAAGTGTTGGGAGAAGATAAGAGAAATAAAAATAAAATGAGATGGGAAGTACCAATGAAGAAAAATATGATGAGAAAGTCTATGAGAAGGCCAGTTTGTGGAAGATAGAAGGTATACAAAAAGAATAAGCAAATAGATTAATACCATTTAAAAACATTCTGCAGAAACTTGCAAAAACAGAAAAACTAAAAAAGAAATTTTTGGCTGGGCACAGTGGCTCACACTTATAATCCCAGCACTTTGGGAAGCTAAGGCAGGCGGATCACTTGAAGTCAGGAGTTTGAGACCAGCCTGGCCAACATATAGTGAAACCTCATCTCTACTAAAAAATACAAAAATTAGCTGGACATGGTAGCACGTGCCTGTAGTCCCAGCTACTTGAGAAATTCAGGCAGAATAATTACTTGAACCTGGGAAGCGGAGGTTGCAGTCAGCTGAGATTGTGCCACTGCAATCCAGCCTGGGCGACAGATTGAGAATTCGTCTCACCAAAAAAAACACAAACAAAAAAAAACTTAAAAAAAAATTCTTTCTCTTAACTCATTTGGATTTGGTTAAAAAAAAAAAAAACAAAACAAGAAAAATTCTTTTTCATTCTCTTTCTTCATCTTAGATTTCAAAGTGAGGCCTTTCTACTATTTGACCCACTTCAGGAGGGTGAGCCCAGACTTGACCCTGGAGGGATTCATATAGATATTAAAATGTAAAAAGAAGTTGGAGAAAAAACAAGAAGGAGAATTAATGCTGGGTCTCAGTACTTTTTTTCCCCTTTACTTATTATGGAATGGACTGTGCCCTTTTCAGGAATCAGGATTAAGGCTACACAGCTGATGCCCAAGTTACTGGTTTTACCAAGGAGATTCTTTGGTATTTAGTTGATTCTGTTTCCATTATGTTCCTGCAGGCATTGGTTGTAGTAGATAGTGATGCCCAGGCTGAATTTTAATTTTTAATCTTTAGTTTGATTTAAACATTACTTTTAGTATGATGCCGACACCAACTGTGCAGAAAGAGCTCTGGAGAGTTGTTCATAGCAGCACACACCTGCGGCTCTTCTTTGATTCTGGAGGCTCCAGGGCAGCCGACATTGTTTCATCAAATACATTTTTTTTTTTTTTTTTTGAGAAGGAGTTTCGTTTTTGTCACTTAGGCTGGAGTGCAATGGCATGATCTTGGCTTACTGCAAACTCTGCCTCTCAGGTTCAAGTGATTCTTCTGCCTCAGCCTCCCAAGTAGCTGGGATTACAGGCGCTCGCCACCATGCCTGGCTAATTTTTGTATTTTGAGTGGAGATGGGATTTCACTATGCTGGTCAGGCTGATCTCAAACTCCTGATCTCAGGTGACCCACCTGCCTTGACCTCCCAAAGTGGTGGGATTACAGGTGTGAGCCACTGTGCCTGGCCATCAAATACATTCTTTAGGCCTTTCTTTAGGCTTTTAAGTGCAGAACACTCCCACATACCTGACAGCCTTTAGGTCATGGGCCAGCTTTTTAGCAGTTTCTAGAGTGATAGCCTGTTTGTTCCTGGCAAGTTTCTCAATTGTAGAGGGATCATCTTCTCTGAGATCAGTTTAGGCCCCAACAAGCAAGAAAGGAGTCTTTGGATAGTAGTGAGTTACCTCAGGCACCATGTTTTCTTTTACATTTTCAAATGGAGATGGAGACTGCTGAAAAACAGACTAGAAATACATCTGTTTGTGAATAACTCAGTGGTCCTAATCTGTCATAATCCTCTTGCCCTGCAGTATCAAAAAGTCCGAGAGTATATGGTTCTCTACCAATCATAACTGTGACTGCATGGTTGTCAAAAACAGTCAGTACATTATTGGGTATACTTGGAGATTTGTCGTGTAGGATATCAGGAGAGATGCTTTACCAACAGCACCATCACCCACAACACAGTTAATTGTCTGCATTGCTGAAATAGTTTTGTATCCACTTTAAATATTTCAAATCTGATGTTGACCTTCGCTTCTCCACCAGGGCATTGTCAGCACTCTATTTTTTTTCTATTTTTGGGTATTTTCCTAATTTAAGTCTACAGTTCAGTGCTAGCCAAAGCTCTTAAATATACTATACAGTAGGAAAAGTATAGAAATGTTTTCTGAAAAGAATAAGTTACTTAGTGGGAGTAGGGTTGGAGCTCATATGTGATAAATTGGTCTCAAAGTAATCTTTAACTTTCTAAAATAAAAATCACTCTGTTGTAGCCTAGTGTAAGCGGAATGGATCCGCCTTTTGGGGATGCCTTTCGAAGCCACACCTTTTCGGAACAAACTCTGATGAGCACAGATCTCTTAGCAAACAGTTCAGATCCAGATTTCATGTATGAACTGGTAAGCAGCATTTTCTTGGTGTTGGACTTGATTGATTTGGGATAAAAGTTTGTGGGAGAGTTTTTTATTTATAAATGCCTGAAAAGAAAAAAAAAAGGTGTTTGGGACAAGTTTAATTCTTATGATTATACATCTAGTAATTTTATTTATTTATTTTTATTTTCATTTTTTTTGAGACAGAGTCTCACTCTGTCACCCAGGCTGGAGTGCAGTGGCACAATCTTGGCTCATCGCAATCTCCGCCTCCGAGGTTCGAGTGATTTTCCTGCCTCAGCCTTCCAAGTAGCTGGGATTACAGGCATGTGTCACCACATCCAGTTAATTTCTGTATTTTTAGTGGAGACAGAGTTTCACCATGTTGGCCAGGCTGGTCTCAAACTTCTGACCTCAGGTAATCGCCCACCTTGGCCTCCCGAAGTGCTGGGATTATAGGCATGAGCCATTGCACCTGGCCTACATCTAGTAATTTTAAAAGTATGCATGAACCCATCAAAAATTGTAAAAGATTATCTAAATGTCTTCAGATCTAGTTTTTGATAAAGAGAATAGGCAACTTTTTTTTTTTCCTCTGCATCTAAAGGCTAAAGGGCTTTTCAGCAGGAAACTATGGAATAATAACATTGAGCAAGGCATGTGACATAAAGAATGTGACACAAAAATAGCAATTCCAAGCAGGATCTGAATATACTTACATTTATTCTTGAGGGAAATAGACACTTAAAATTCATAAGAAAAACATTTTAGAACTGTTTTAATTATATAAAATTGAAGCAACATAGAAATATATAAAAACTGGAAAACTGAATGCTCAAAAGCATAAATCTACTAAAAATTATTGAATTGGGGCCAGGCGTGGTGGTCCACGCCTGTAATCCCAGCACTTTGGGAGGCCAGGGCAAGTGGATCATGAGTTCAAGAGATTGAGACCATCCTGCCCAATGTGGTAAAACCCCATCTCTACTAAAAATACAAAAAATAGCTGGGTGTGGTGGCAGGTGCCTTCGTCCTAGTTACTCGGAGGCCGAGGCAGAAAATGTCTTGAACCCGGGAGGTGGAGGTTGCAGTGAGTTGAGATTCTGCCATTGCACTCCAGCCTGGGCAACAAATTGAGACTCTGTCTCAAAAAAAAAAAAAAACATCAACTCTGGAAGACTGAAAATTTCCTCATTTTCTTCCCATAGCTCCACCTTCCAAACCTTTGATCAAAATATAAACATATGTATATACTTTTTTTTGGCATATACTTTTTTTTTTTTTTTTAGGCAGTTTCACTCTTGTTGCCCTGGCTGGAATGCAATGGCGCAATCTCGGCTCACTGCATCCTCTGCCTCCCTGGTTCAAGTGATTCTCCTGCTTCATTCAGCCTTCTGAGTAGCTGGGATTGCAGGGATGTGCCACCACACCTGGCTAATTTTGTATTTTTAGTAGACATGGTGTTTCTCCATGTTGGTCAGGCTGGTCTCACACTCCCGACCTCTGGTGATCTACCAGCCTCAGCCTCCCAAAGTGCTGGGATTACAGGCATAAGCCACCATGTCCGGCCTGTATATACTTTTTTTGTCTTTTTTGAGACGGAGTTTCGCTCTTGTTACCCACGCTGGAGTGCAGTGGCACGATCTCGGCTCACTGCAACCTCCACCTCCTGGGTTCAAGCAATTCTCCTGCCTCAGCCTCCTGAGTATCTGGGACTACAGGCGTGTGCCACCATGCCCAGCTAATTTTTGTATTTTTAGTAGAGACGGGGTTTCACCATGTTAACTAGGATGGTCTCGATCTCTTGACCTCGTGATCCACCCGCCTTGGCTTCCCAAAGTGCTGGGATTATAGGCATGAGCCACCGCGCCCGGCCCTGTATATACTTTTTAATTGGATAATATAGATAACAGTTTTCCGTAACTTGCTCTTTTAAAAATAAAAATGGCTGGGTGTAGTGGCTCACACCTGTAATCTCAGCATTTTGGGAGGCTGAGGTGGTCGGATCACGAGGTCAGGTGATTGAGACCATCCTGGTTAACATGGTGAAACCCCGTCTCTACTAAAAATTAGCCAGGCATGGTGGTATGTGCCTGTAGTCTCAGCTACTTGGGAAGCTGAGGCAGGAGAATCACTTGAAGCGGGAGATGGAGGTTGCAGTGAGCCAAGATCGTGCCACTGCACTCCAGCCTGGGCAACAGAGCAAGACTCCAACACACACACACACACACACACACACACACACACACAGGGCAACAGAGCAAGACTCCAACACACACACACACACACACACACACACAGGGCAACAGAGCAAGACTCCAACACACACACACACACACACACACACACCCACCCACCCACCCCAGTCTGTTTTGTTTGTACATTAAGAGCTAAGCTGCATTCATTTCAGTGGCTTCAGAGTCTTAACTGGCATTTGAAATTGACATCTCCAGTGGCACACGCCTGTAATCTCAGCACTTTGGGCGGCAAAGGTGGGTGGATCACTTGAGGTCATGAGTTTGAGACCAGCCTGGCCAACATGGTGAAAACTCATCTGTACTAAAAATACAGAAACAAAATTATATCCCTAAAATTCGTGAAGAGTATTTTACTCTGCCTGCCCAAGTGTTGTTATAAGGTTTTGAAAAGATCTTACCATTTTGTGGCTGAATTTCAACTCTCTTTAGATTGCTCTTTGCTTCCATATTAAGTTCCCACTTAAGACATCTTCTGTAATGAAGTTGTCTTCATTATTTGCTTTTTTGTTTATTTTTCATTTTTATTACTATTTTAAATTCTTCTCTCTCACATATTACATTGTTTGCTGTTTAATTGAAGCTTCCCCCACCCCCGCCACTAAGGAGATTCCAAAATCCTTCTAATATCAAGAAATGTAAACTTTTTTTAGGAAGAGTGTTTATGGTAAAACTAAACAGCTCTTGATATTTGGATCATACCTGAGCCTCTCAAGGGAGACACTTTCCCTCTTTTTTAAATTTAATTTTTAATTGTTTTTCATTTGTTTTATTTTTACTCTTTTTTTTCCTGCCTAAGGAAATGATAATAAAGTGTCATGTCAGTAGCTTTTATGTTAAAACAGACCAGAAGTCAAGTCTTGATTTATCAATTTGATGTATGGAGGTACATATTTCCTTCTTAAAATATGATGTGCAATTTCTTTTTTAAAACCTTTTTCAGGATAGAGAGATGAACTACCAACAGAATCCTAGAGACAACTTTCTTTCTTTGGAGGACTGCAAAGACATTGAAAATCTGGAGTCTTTCACAGATGTCCTGGATAATGAGGGTGCTTTAACCTCAAACTGGGAACAGTGGGATACATACTGTGAAGACTTAACAAAGTATACCAAACTAACCAACTGTGACATCTGGGGAACAAAAGAAGTGGATTACTTGGGTCTTGATGACTTTTCTAGTCCTTACCAAGATGAAGAGGTTATAAGTAAAACTCCAACTTTAGCTCAACTTAATAGTGAGGACTCACAGTCTGTTTCTGATTCCCTTTATTATCCCGATTCACTTTTTAGTGTCAAACAAAATCCCTTACCCTCTTCATTTCCTGGTAAAAAGATCACAAGCAGAGCAGCTGCTCCTGTGTGTTCTTCTAAGACTCTGCAGGCTGAGGTCCCTTTGTCAGACTGTGTCCAGAAAGCAAGTAAACCCACTTCAAGCACACAAATCATGGTGAAGACCAACATGTATCATAATGAAAAGGTGAACTTTCATGTTGAATGTAAAGACTATGTAAAAAAGGCAAAGGTAAAGATCAACCCAGTGCAGCAGAGCCGACCCTTGTTGAGCCAGGTTCACAAAGATGCAGCAAAGGAGAACACCTGCTACTGTGGTGCAGTAGCAAAGAGACAAGAGAAAAAAGGGCTGGAGCCTCTTCAAGGTCATGTCACTCCCGCTTTGCCTTTTAAAGAAACCCAGGAACTATTACTCAGTCCCCTGCCCCAGGAAGGTCCTGGGTCAATCGCAGCAGGAGAGAGTAGCAGCCTTTCTGCCAGTACATCAGTCTCGGATTCATCCCAGAAAAAAGAAGAGCACAATTATTCTCTTTTTGTTTCCGATAACTTGGGTGAACAGCCAACCAAATGCAGTCCTGAAGAAGATGAGGAGGATGAGGAAGATATTGATGATGAGGACCATGATGAAGGATTTGGCAGTGAGCATGAACTGTCTGAAAATGAAGAGGAGGAAGAAGAAGAAGAGGATTATGAAGATGACAAGGATGATGATATTAGTGATACTTTCTCTGAACCAGGTATTACAATGCTTGCAAGCTTACCAGACAGACCTTTCTATTACTATTTTGAAATAGAAAGGTTTTGCCGGGCATGGTAGCTCACGCCTGTAATCCTAGCACTTTGGGAGGCTGAGGTGGGCAGATCACAAGGTCAGGAGATCGAGACCATCCTGGCTAACATGGTGAAACTGTCTTTAAAAAAAAAAAAAAGATTTTGTTTAGATGATTTCTCTTAGTTTGGGAATTAAATGACTTAAATCTTCGCTTAGATATGTGATTGGTTTCTCTATTCAAATAGCTCTAAAATGATGACTTTTGCTCACATAAGGGTTCATAAGCTGATTCCTTGAGGGCTTATTTATTATTTTTTTATTTCTTATTTTAAAAATTAAAATAGAGATGGGAGCTTGTCATTGTTGCCCAGGCTGGTCTCAAACTCCTGGGCTCAGGTGATCCTCCTGCCTTGGCCACCCAAAGTGTTGGGATTACAGGAATGAGCCACTGTGCCCAGTCGAGGACTTAATGTATTTTATGTTAAGTGACCTGTTTTGTCACTCTCTTGAGCATTTGTGCAAAGATGCCAAGAATTTATTGGTTTAAAAAATATTCCTGTTTATGCATATGTCTCTCTATTATAGTTGAGATAAGTTAGGAGTATAGAGAATGTTGAACCAAGCGATGATAGTTTATATTACTCATGCCAATAGCCAACAAAATCTTTTTATGAATAATGTAAAAGAGAGGTTTCTTTGTGTCTGCTACATTTTAATTTATATCATATTTTCCTATTTAAGTAAAATACATGCTGTCATTTGGTGAGCATGAAGGAGACTCAGCTTTATTTATATACAGTGCATATAAATAAAAGGGACAAAGAAAATGAAATGTGTGGGGGAACTGGTTCACTTCAGCATTTACATGCTTGGGCTTTTGGCACCATTGGCTTGTGCAGTTTATTTATGAAAATGATATTGCCAAGTGGCACATGGTTGAAAATGCACAAAGAAGTAAAGATTTCAAATTTATATGAAAGCTATTTTCTTCAAAAATAGTATTGATACTAACTCTGCATGAAAACTAAGTTATTGTTATAAAAAAAGAAACTAAAATATCAAAGAGGGCCTTTTTGTTAAAATGATGATTGCTGGAATTTCAGGCAGTATAAACATAGACATTTAATTTTCAGAGAGGCATTTAAGGCATAGTACCTATATTGTAACCAGTGAAACACTGTTATTGCTGAAAGACTTTTTCCTGTGGTGAAATCTTTCCATTGCATAAATGCTTAGATTTATCTACTTGATACAAACAAATTTTTTGATTTGGATGAAGTTTCAAGTAGGCAAAAGGTACTTGAATATGGAAGAAAAGGATTTGTGCCTTTTTCGTGGTTCTGTGTAGTCTAGATAGGATAATTGTCTTTTTACTATACAGGAAATTTTTTTCCGTGGCAAATGAATAAAATCTGCTTGGAGATGTTTCAAGGAGACTTGTCTTTGTAGGTAGGGGTAATTTCTATAACTCTCTGCACGTGGAAGATCATAGTGCTGTTCATGAGTGGTCCTTAAGGTCTTGACAGATTGGTCCTGTTGCTTTGAGTCTTGTATTTAGGAGTAGGGGAAGGGTAATTAAGGGAAATGCAAAATGTGGGGAAGGAAATGCTTTTAGCAGCTGGTGTTTAAAGGAGTATATAGATCAGAAGGAGTCAGTAAAACCTACAGTAAGGACAGGTGCGGTGGCTCAAGCCTGTAATCCCAGCACTTTGGGAGGCCGAGGCGGGTGGATCACGAGGTCAAGAGATCGAGACCATCCTGGTCAACACGGTGAAACCCCGTCTCTACTAAAACTACAAAAAATCAGCTGGGCATGGTGGCGCGTGCCTGTAATCCCAGCTACTCAGGAGGCTGAGGCGGGAGAATTGCCTGAACCCAGGAGGCGGAGGTTGCGGTGAGCCGAGATCGCGCCATTGCACTCCAGCCTGGGTAACATGAGTGAAACTCCGTCTCAAAAAAAAAAAACAAACAAAAAAAAACCTACAGTAAATCCTACCATCACCAAGGCAGCAAGGACTATGTTCTCTACCTGACTTTGGGCTGTAGTTTTGCTTTTCTTTTGACTTTCCCCCCTCAACTTTACTGAGGTATGTTTGGCAAATAAAAATCATATATGTTCAAATTGCACAGCATGTTCTGATATGTGTATACATTATGTTTTTTTTTTTGTTTGGTGTTTCTTTTTTTTTTTTTGAGACGGAGTTTTGCTGTTGTTGCCCAGGCTGGAGTGCAATGGCACGATCTCGGCTCACCGCAACCTCCGCCTCCTGGGTTCAAGCAATTCTCCGGCCTCAGCCTCCCGAGTAGCTGGGACTACAGGCATGCACCACCATGCCCAGCTAATGTTTGTATTTTTAGTAGAGACGAAGTTTCACCTTGTTGACCAGGATGGTCTTGATCTCTTGACCTCGTGATCCACCCACCTCGGCCTCCCAAAGTGCTGGGATTATAGGCTTGAGCCACCGTGTCCGGCCTGTGTATACATTATGAAATGATTACCAAAATCAGGCTAATTAGCATACCTGTTACCTCACATAGTAAAGTTGTAAGAACATTTAAGATCTACTCTCTTAACAAATTTTGTGTACACAACACACACATTTTTTCTTTTCTTTTTTTGAAACAAGATCTGGCTCTGTTGCCTAGGCTGGAGTGCGGTGGCACAGTCTTGGCTCACTGCCACCTCTACTTCCCTGGCTCAAGCCACCCTCCCACCACAGTCTTCCAAGTAGCTGGGACCACAGGCATGCACCATCACACCTAGTTTTTATATTTTTTGTAGAGATGGGTTTTGCCATGTTGCCCAGGCTGGTCTTGAACTTGTGAACTCAAGCCACCCACCCACCTCGGCCTCTCAAATTGCTGGGATTACAGGTGTGAGCCACTGCACTCAGCTCAGTATTGTCTGTAGTCACAGTGCTGTATGTTAGATCTTCAGAGCTTATTCATTCTGCATAACTGAAACCTTGTACCTTTTGGCCGACATTTTCTCATTTCCCCCACCCACCAGCCGCCTGGCAACCTCCATTCTACTTTCTAATCTCTGATCCTGAGTTTGACTTTTTCTTTAAGATTTCGCATATAAATGAGATCATGCTGTATTTGCCTTTCTGTGCCTGGCTTATTTCATTTAGCGTAATGTCTTCCAGGTTCATCCATGTGTCACAAAGATGCGATTTCCTTTCTTTTGAAGGCGGTATAATATTCCTGTATGTGAGGGTGCGTGCGTATAACTCACATTTCCTTTATGTATATGTTCATTGTTGGTCCCTTTGTTGATTCCTTATCTTGGATTTTGTGAATAGTGTTGCAATGAACATAGGAATGCAGATACGTCTTCAAGATACTGACTCTTTCTTTTGGCTATATCTCCAGAAGTGGGATTGCTGGATCATATGATTGTTCTTTTTTAAATTTTTTGAGGAACTTCCATACTGTTTTCCATAATGTCTGTGCCAATTTACATTCCTACCAATAGTTTACAAGAGTTCTCTTTTTTCCACATCCCCAACAACACTTGCTATCATTTATCTTTTTGATAATAGCCATGCCGACAGGTATGAGGTGATATTTCATTGTGGCTTTCGTTTGTATTTCCCTGATGATTAGTGGTATTGAGCATATTTTCTTACATTTCTTGGCTGTATAGATGTCTTTAGAAAAATGTTTATTCAGGTCCTTTGCGCATTTTTTAATTAGGTTGTTTTCTTGCCATTACATTGCTTGGGTTCCTTGTATATTTTCGATATTAGCCCCTCGTCAGATGTATGGTTTGCAGATACTTTTCTTTGATTTCATAGGTAGTCTCTTCACTCTGTTAATTGTTTGTTTTGCTGTGCGGAAGCTTTTTAGTCTGATGCAATCTCATTTGTTTATTTTTGCTTTTGCTGCCAGTGCTTTTGGAGTTACATATTTAAAAAATTCATTGCCCAGACTAGTGTCAAGAACTCTTTTTCATGTTTTTCTCCTAGTATTTTTATTGTTTAGTTCTTATGTTTAAGTGTTTAATACATTTCGAGTTGATTTTTTTAATATGGTATGAGATAAGGGTCTCCAATTTCATTATTCTGCCTTTGGATATCCAGTTTTCCCATTACCATTTATTGAAGAGACTATCCTTTACTTATTGTTTGTTTCTGGCACCTTTGCCAAAGATTAATTAATTGGACATAATGTGGGAATTTATTCCTGGGCTGTTTTATTAGTGTATATGTCTGTTTTTATGCCAGTACTATACTGTTATAATTACTGTAGCTTTGTAATATATTTTAAAATCAGAAAGTATGATGTGTCCAGCTTTGTTTTTCTTACTCCATAGGTGGCTTTGGCTATTCAGAATCTTGTGCTTTCATATGAGTTGTAGGGTCTTTTTTCCTCTATTTAAGGATTGCATTGAATCTGTAATTCGCTTTGGGTAGAATGGATATTTTAGCTGTATTAATTCTTCCAATCCATAAACACAGGATATCTTTCTATTTATTTGTGTCTTTGGTTTCTTTCGCCAATGTTGTATAGTTTTCAGTGTATAGATCTTTCACCTTCTTAGTTACGATTTTTTTCCCTAAGTTTTTTTTTTTTTTTTTTTTTTTTTTTTTTTCACTTTTTTTAATGGGGTTTTTTTTTTTTTTTTTTTTTTTTTGTGTAAAACAATTGTAAATGGGATTGTTTTTTCTTATAGTTGTTAGCATATAAAAATAAACTGATTTTTGAATAATGATTTTGTATCCTGCAGGCTTACTTAATTAATTTATTAGTTCTAACAGTTTTATGGTAAAGTCCTTAGGGTTTTCTGTATACAAGATCATGTCATCTACAAACAGAGACGATTTCTTTTCCTATTTGGATGCCTTACCTTCTTTCTTTTTTCTCTTTTTTTCTTCTTTCTTTTCTTTCTTTCCCTGCCTCCCTCTCCTCCCTCTCTCCTTCCTTTTTCCTTTCTCTTTTCCTTTCCCCTTCTTTTTCTTT